ATAGATAGATAGATAGATAGATAGATAGATAGATAGATAGATAGATAGATAGATAGATAGATAGATAGATAGATAGATAGATAGATAGATAGATAGATAGATAGATAGATAGATAGATAGATAGATAAAATACAAATAAAAATGGTTATTTGTATTAGGGAAAACAAAGATTTAAAAAAACAAACAACAGAAGCTTAGTCACCCAATTCATCAATTAATATTCGAATTTAATTTTTAAGTTAATGCCAATCAAGATAGATTTTCCCCCATATTCCTCCCCGCCCCAAATCATTTAATTATGAAACCTCTTCGTGCCAGATAGTGGTTGTTGGATCACGCCATGTCTGTTGTAAGCGTTACATAAATGATCAAACATTATGTCTTAGCTATTTAATTAAAAGTTCGAATCAGAGTTTCAACGTTGACGGCCCTATTTGGGAAACTGAGATACGTCAAAGAACAAAAATGATCTAGTGCCGTTGACACCAATATCAAACATAAATTTAAAAAAGAACCAAACACCGAAAACATATGTTAATTTATTGTAATGCAACTGAACATAAAGAGTGTGTATGTGAGTGTGTTGTTGGGGGGGGGGGGGGGGGTAGGGGATATTGTTGAGTTGTCTACATTTTATAACACAGAGACATCACTTAGTTTCATCGTTAAAAAAAGGAAGAGATTTGTGAAGTCCTAATTCCAACAATAACGGCATTAATAAACAACAGCAACACGAAACCAGACCACCGCCCCCCCCCCCAATCAGACCACCATTTCGCCCAAACCGTGGAATCTATAAATAGCGCTAAACCAACAACAATCTCAAACATTAGACATTCCCCAACAAATAAACATCCCATGTGTGTGCGTGCGTGTGTGTGTGTGTGTGTGTGTGTGTGTTCGCGAGCATGTGTCTGCTTGTGCGTGTGTTGTGGCAACCAGTTCACTGACGCATATTTTGAAGCTTTGTTTGAACATACTTTGCTGTCATAAAAAAAGCCAAAAATATGTTCAATAAGTGACTCCCAACAATGACTACTGAGGCTGAATGTATTGGAAACAAAGGACAAGAACGCGATATTTCATTATAAACATCAAGTAGTGTGTTTGTGTGTGTGTGTGGGGGGGGGGCGAGAAAGGTGTCCTGCTCCCCGAAAACAAGTCACTGATCGTATAAATGGCGCCCCACCCCCTTCCTCGCTTAAACCCCACCCAGTACACCTGGTGGCTTGAATAGATGACTTTAATTTGGTGAGTAAAGGCTGACCAAATAAATAGAGCAAAGCAGTGATAGAGGACCTGGCCACTGCTGAATGTATCACGTCAAACATGTTTGCTTTGCACGAATTAGCAGGTGATGAGAGGTAAGAGTGGAAAGAAAGGTCACCTGGTTCTGAATCAGAAACTTACCTGTTTAATCAGGTTTGGTAAAGTGTTATTTTGTTGTTGTTGGTTTTTGTTGTTGTCATAAACGAAACACAAAAAGATGCCCTACATTAAACAATCTTGAATGCAGTTAATTGAAAAGGTTTTTCTTTCAGTCAATGGCTCCCAACAGTTTTCGAGCCAATAGCCCGTTTAAATTATTTCAGGAGAGTGATCCCGATCAATGTATTTGTCTTTTCAATAGTGTAACAGAAAATACGTCAAAAACAGATTTTCAGCATATAAATAATTTATTTTTTGGGGCTTCCGCCTGTCACAGTGTGATGGTGTGATGGTATGATGGTGTGATGGTGTGATGGTGCAGGATAAAATCACATGGTATGGGATTTTTCTATAGAAGGATAAGCAGGCTCCCTAGTCAGCAGATCACCTCTCTCCACGGAATAAATAATTTAAAAAAAACAACAACTTTCTCGAAAATAAGATAACAGAGATAGTATGTATATTTTACACCGAAATTAGAAAAGAGAATTCCTTTAAAATCAGTTTTTCGTTTGCTAACAGTTTCAGACGGCGACCCAGCTAAGCTATAGATGTGGAAGCCGTGCCCGAGCTAGGTTTTTGTTGGTTGCAAAGATGGCCGATCGTTTCATTAGTAGAACATCTAAGAGCTAACACATTTTCTTTTGACGTAACACGAGCCGGTTACCAGGGATGAATAGTTTTAAGTTAGAGCTGACACATATGACTGGAGCGATTCAACGGGTAGAAATAGATGCAGTAAGACAGACAGACAGGCAGACAGACGGATGGGCGAATGTATTTATGGATAGGGGATGGTTTGGTAGAAAGATGAATAGATAGATGGTTGAATTGATGGATGGATCGATCAATGGTTTTATATAATATACATATAAATATAGAGAGACAGAAAGATTTAGCGAGACAGAAAGATTTAGCGAGACAGAAAGATAGATACATAGATAGTTAGATAAATAGATACATTGACAAATAGATTGATAGAAATATAGATAGATAGATGATAGCTAAGTAGATAGGTAGGTATATAGATAAATAGACATATATATATATATATATATATATATATATATATATATATATATATATATATATATATATATATATATATATATA